CGCTGAAATCATGCGTTTTAAACCATATGAGTTTAAACATCTGATATAAGGTTTTCTGGGCGCACACATCCGAAGCACATGGACAAAAAGCGGCTGTCACAGCATGTGAGTACTAAAATAAGTTCTCATTCACACACAAGTTTATGTTAAAAACACACAGGAGTTATAAAAACAGTCGGTTATGTCTGTGAAGGTAAACTGCTGGGAAATAAATTGCATGTTTATTTTAGATCTAAATAGTGCTCTGTGCTCCTCAGTGCAGACAAAAGTCCTATTTGCATGGGATTAGTATTGTCTGGGGACCCATTGTATGGTGTAGCGATATGACAGCACCCAAAATACTATCAAACACTCCAACGCAGCTCCATTCTTCGCAAAAGATGGATAAAAAGGCGCACAGGAAACAAAAACCTCAAAATTATATACAAGGCGCCAAATGCTGGCCAAATCACAGAGATGCAGATTTGCACGGGACTAATATTATCACAGGACCTCTGTGTTCGGTGAAATCTGGTAGGTCATTTGCGGGGGAATTTTTACTTTACAAATTACAGACATGGCCGATTCGCACGGGATTAAGATCACAGACAACCTCCGCAATTATTACAAATGATTGGAGGTCACCATACTAATCCCGTGCAAATAGGGCTAATGGCAGAACAGTTAGTATGTTTTGCTCAAACTTTCGCCATGGCATTAGAGCTGGTACCGTACCAGAGTTTGTTTGGAAGCGGACCTAGACCACCTCTTCAGATGGGTCTCGGTACGGTTGTTTGGTCCGCACCCAAGTGCGATTGCTGCATTCACACCTGCCAAAAAAGTCCGCACCAAGAGGGGAAACGAACTTGAGTTCGATTCAATCGAACCAAACAAGACAGGTGTGAATACACCCTCAGAAACGTAGCAATGACATCGGTAAAACAGTCCATGTGACATCAGTGGCTCAACTTCAATTTTGCGAAGTTACGAGAATACTTTTTGTGCGCAAAGAAAACAAACATAACAATTTCAGTTGTGTTGCTGTCTATGCAGGGTCAGAAAGCTCTCAGATGTGATCAAAAATATCTTAATTTGTGTTCTGAAAATGAACGAAGGTCTTACGGGTTTGGAACGACATGAGGTTGAGTAATTAATGAATTTTAATTTTGGGGTGAACGGGACTGAAAATATAAACATAATTGCCACAAATATGCCACGTCAGCCATTGGTCGAATAAACAGATAGCCACGCCCACAGCCCATGCTATTGGTCAAGTAAATGTTGTCAGGAGGTAGCTCAAAACAATTGGTGAAACTTTCATAGTAGCAGAGACATGTTGATAGTTTTTGGAAAAGTAAACTTTTAATGGCTTGCTTATTGTTGTCTCTGCGTATTAATCTGCAATAAGAGTATTTTCCCACCGAAAACGTTACATACTTTGACTTTTATATTACTGTAGTATTGTCACTGTGTTGGTCTTGTTCCTATGTCGATAGTTTTATACATTGTAATTGATCATGAAATCAATATTTAATGTCCACTGATCTATTTGCATGTCTTAAGAATATTTTAGTATTTATTATATAATATTTAAGATTTGTGTGCTTTATTTGCATTTCTTTACTCAGTTTTCCTGTAAATATTTTTTCAAAGCACACAAAAGCAAGTCAGCTAGTGAACTGACCTGACAGGGCAACTAGAAACCATCTAACAAAACAGGCGAGCTGAGATAAACCATTTATTAATTTTGTACATAATACCATGGTATATGAGTATAGTACTTATATAGTATATATAAATATATTTATCAAATAACCATGCTATCATAACCTAATACCATTACTTTACAGTAGCCTACTTCTCACTAAAGATTATTTGTCAAGACTAGCTCAAGGGCAATCCAGCAAGGATGCCTTTACTTTCTGCTTGTTATTGTCAAAGTTATGAACTGGAACTGTGTGTGAGTGTGTCTGATGGAGAGAGAGAGAGGTGGAGGGGGAAGAAAGGTACAGAATGATTGATTGATGGAGCGAAAAGAGACCGAGCAAAGGGAAGTGAGGGGTGGGACTGAGTGAAAAAGGAGTGGAAGTGAAGGGGGAGGGCCAGAGAAAGCAAAGAGAGGAGAGAGGCAGTGTGCATCTGTGTGGGGTCAGTATCACATGCTTGGCTCTTGCACACCACACTGTTGTTGCTGCGCTTTGATCTGGGTGCATCTGACATGCAGTACTTTCTTTCTTTCTTTCTTGTTAAGGGAGGCATAAACTTGCAGAGAGATACGCTGCATGATTCACACCTATGCTGAGTCAAAAGAGCTCCAGGGATCTGCACAGGCAGGTAAGATCTCTTTAATTTGATCACATAACAGACTGTCACTCCTTTTTAAAGCCAGTGGTTCAGTGGTTATACACAAACTAATGATAAACCGTGGCGTGTTGGACATTAGTTTGGTTTGATCGTGCAGTTCACACACTCTGCACAATCAAAATGTGTGTAGTCTGTAGTCAGATGGTTTTACTGTGATCATCTGAAGAGTACAGAAGGCCACTTTACACTCTCAACGCAAACATGTTGCAGCCAAAGAGATTTGACAGAGGAATTCCAAGGTCACAAACTTTTCTGGTGGTGTATCATGTTTTGTTGTCTGTTGTGTTGTGTCGTGTTGCTGTGTGTTTGTGTGATAATTGGAGCCAGTTCGGGAAACATGGATATTTATTTGTCAGTCCAGATGATCACAGGGCTGGTCAGTGTGTTGTGCAGAGAGTGTGTGTATTGTATGCAGGTGTGATTTTGTGCATATATTCTTTTAAATTTGTTAGCAATATGTTTGAGACAAAAGTTTTGGTGATAAGGTTATATATTTGTATTTTTTATTCTATAAATTATATATATCATAAGTAATATACAGTAAAAAAAACATAAAATCTGTGTTATATTAATTTTATATACATAGTTATACATATACGTTAAATATGTAATATATATTATTTTTTTATATTTTTTTATTATTTATGTAAAGACAGACATTTATATAAGTGATGTAAAAAATCATTAATATTGTCGATTAATTTTATGTGTGCATGAGTGTGTGTGTCTATACATATATATATATATATATATATATATATATATATATAAATGTTAGCAATATGTTTGAGACAAAAGTTTTGGTGATAAGGTTATATATTTGTATTTTTTATTCTATAAATAAATTATATCATAAGTAATATACAGTAAAAAAAACATAAAATCTGTGTTATATTAATTTTATATACATAGTTATACATATACGTTAAATATGTAATATATATTATTTTTTTATATTTTTTTATTATTTATGTAAAGACAGACATTTATATAAGTGATGTAAAAAATCATTAATATTGTCGATTAATTTTATGTGTGCATGAGTGTGTGTGTCTATACATATATATATATATATATATATATATATATATATATAAA